TTGTACTTTTCAATCGCTCTATTTACCCAGTGCTTCACGCATGCTCCATAATTATGATTCACCTTTACCTCGCATAATTCGCTGCTTTGCTTCTTGCTGCGTGCACTGCAAAAACTGCAGTATTAAATTTACACCATTGGTATCTATAATTATCCGGTTCGTTAGTGTGACGTCACCTCCAGCACTTTCTGCATGATTGGAACCGAAAGTTAACGCAGCTCGAGCGTTTGTAGCCAATGAGCGCCAGTAATCAGTGCTGCGCGCGTGTGTATGACGTTTTCACTAACGAACCGGATAGGACCATCTGGTGTTAAATTTTACTGGTAATGTCCTATATAGATACCGAATGGTGTTAAATTAACACTACAGTTTTTGCAGTGTGAAAGCAATTCATACATGATTAAGATGTCGTAACGTTTCATGTGCAGTGTACGTTTCGTATTTTATCCTCCTATAATCACAGTAACCGTAACACGAAATGCAAAATTTCAGTCCGAGGCGAAAGTGCAAGCACAAAATACAGAATACAACAGCATAGTGATTGACTAAGAAATAGGTGCCACTACTAAAAACGGTAAAACTATACCTGTTCGGTTGTTTTCTGACACTTCTTCTAATATGTTGACAACTCCTCTTCCGGTGTCGCTTTCTTATAGGACATTAGGATAGTTGCTCGTTTTGAAACAATTGCCAACAGTCTAAGCTCCTTCTCTCAGAAAAAAACCTCATCAACGGGCAAGAGCATGTGACATGAGCCCAGAAACTGCTCTTTTCGATACAATCACCAACCAGGTATACACAATAGATGTGCATACATGTACGTAGGCCTTGTCAAAGCTTCACACGCCCAATGGAATTTGCCTTAACTGCGCTTGCGCATAATTATGTTTTGTCCACGCAGCCGCGGGTGAAATGTCATGGTTAATCGATTAATTTTTACTCTTCACGGAGGTACGGTAAACGTTCAGCGATATACATAATTAAGTCGGGAGTGGTAGTCATCGATTGGCGTACACGTACATAGTATTAGGTGCGTGTACATGTGACATGTACATGTAAGATTATGCTCTTTCGCAATGTGGGGAAACCCCTGTTGAGTGTATAAATTATGCTCAGTATTGGCAAAAGATTGTGTAGACAGGTATATGTATCTGTTGAGGCAAAATGGGAATAGAAAACACAAAGATAAGTAGGTCTTCCAGATAGAGCAGAACCTTACTGCTGGCCTGAAATTCATTCAGCTGAACTGTGCGTCTGTTACAGTTGCGTCACCGTTTCAAAAACTCAACCATATTTTGTAGGCGTACATCAGCAAGAAGACCGCGATCTCAATGATGTAAAATCTGTTAAAGGGTTCTTAACCTTATACACCTGCTTGGCTCAATATCATGCCAACGAATGTGATCGTGACCACAGTTGTGATGGAGTAATCAATGAAAATGCTTATCCTCACACCAAGCTAATTAACCTTGCCTTAAGTGACCATACAACTCGAATAAGAGTTTTTTTTTTCGGCAACAGAGACGAATTCAAACGGCACTGACGGAATACAGATGATGTAAGGTGCTTAATGGTTGTTGCCCTGCCTAACTTTGAAATTGAATGATGAAAGACTGATTGGTCACACACAAATATAAATTCTTCGAAGACAAATTCATCGTAAACGTGATAAAATCACCAGAAAAGCCTGTCTTAATTATTTAACATTAGGCGATTGCACTTTGTTTAAAATATTTCACTATCCAAATGAAGATTCTTTGACGCTATGGACACAATGATAATGACACTTTTAATTCAAGGTAACAGTGCATCATACGTTTGACGTTTAATAACATTTAATATATATTACTTATAGCCTATTTAGGTAAGGGGGCTGCATCCCTCGTTTTCTATTGCCTGCCTTTCTGCATTTTTATGATATGACTCGGCCACTGAATTTTGACAGAAAGACTAGGATTGAATTAGTTCAAAAGGAACAACTAAGTTTATGCCAAGAAATTAATTTGATGAATCTCAAGAACAAGTGACTGACGTTAATATTTCTATGTCATTAAGTACCAACCTCGATCACAGTGGAACCTCTTGGTTTGGTGCGGGACGAATGTAAAGGAAAACATCATTTAATAAACAAATAATGTTTATGAGTGCAATGGTAAGAATAAGGTGACATATGGGATGTTCCATTTCACGAGGCGAAGCCGAGTGGAATGGAGCATTCCATCTTTTTGTCACCGAATAAAATTATTCTTTCCATTGCACGAATGTGAAACATTCATCATTTGTTTTATACAACACCTGAATAAATCCTCCTCATCTGATTGGTGTAAACCACCAATAGTGTGACCATGCAATATTACTTATATTTACCTTGAGGTGCGCGAGCGTATAGGTTGGGACGAATAGTTCAATGACATGTGATCAACGACCCACCAATCAAATGACGGGGATTTATTCCTGGTTGTAAAATCTTGCACGTTTGTATCAAGTTTTAAGACAAATTGATATGGTCTTTATTTCATGCGTGTCGTCCAATCATTCACGTTAACTATTCAACAGATGATCATGTAATTTTATAGACCATAATATTACAGATTATAAAGTTAAATTAAACATTTTCTCTTCACATCGTTAAATTTAGTGCATGTACCGAAAGTACTGTCACAAATTGCCCTGCAATTTGTGTGAACTATTTAAATAATACAAACGTGGATAGCTTAAATCTTGTGATGCAGGTCTACAACTACAGTAGGCGTAAATAAAAAAAACTTTAAAAAAACATATGACGCTGAACAAAATGCGACCTACTTAATATATGTAACAGAATTACTGATTTTTACATGCAAACAAATTCTACAAAGAAAACTCGTTTTTTGTTTCCCCCAAACTGATATAACACATGTTACTGGATTTTCCTAGTCCAAAAAATATAAGAATCCTAAACGGGGAAATTGATACAAAAGAAATTTTATATAGTTCTAATGATTCTATGTACAAAATATAATACAAATATCTTGAAATTCTAGGTCAAGAATTCCTTTTGGGCTCATTGCAAGATCATCCAATCTTCAATTAACTGTTGCGTATCAATTCTTCCTTATTATTGTGCAATCTCAAGCAATATTTAGACCGATCCAGTAAGCCCCGTCCCATAATGCTCTGACCAATCACAGCCGCGATGTATGTCCGACATGCGTGCGTGTGCGCGCGTATTATACGCCACAGGAGCGGAGAGGAGCACGTGTTAATTGACCACGTGTGCATTGGGCGGCGCTTACTGGATAGTAAGGTAGACCTTTCTTGCAAAAACTACGGAAGTTTAACATTGCGAAAATGAAGAACAGTTTTGAATGTTTTCAAACATGGTTCGATTGCTGAAAGTACAAAAATAATCAACAACAAACGCCACCCAAGACTTGATAAAATGACTCTTTCGAAAATAATAAGGGACCGGTGTTATTACATGCAATTTTTTTGGCAAAGTCTCTTGCCAACCACGGCCTTAAATGTACGCCCTTGTGGCAGCCCATTCAAAATGGCGCTCAATGTTTACAAACGAAAGAAAGGTCTATATTCGTAAATTTATTCTGTAAAAAAATGTACAAAGTTGAGCATTTCTATGAAGGGGACGTTACAAAATTACAGAATTGAAGTTAGCATTCGGTTAAAAACCTTAAACCTCACGTCATTTTTTTAAAATACAAAATAATTTCATACAAAGAACATGAAGACTGTCAATTAAGACATGTTGTTGCATAAAGAATAAGAAGCTTTGAAAAAGAGACAATAAATCATTGACTAGGAAAAAAACTATACATTTGTAAAAACATAAATTTACACAGAATATACATTTTTTTCAAACCTTCAAAGCCTTTTTACTGCTCCACTCAGTACCATAGCCGAGAATTGCAAGCTTGAAGTAGGCCTTTTTCGTGAATACTGACTTGTTTGGTATTTCATAGCACCACATTGAATAATAGAAATACAATGTCTTTAAATGCACAAAAAGCTACCCATTGATGGGTCCAAACAAGGACTGACTAGTTGAAATCAGTAAATATTGTTCAGTCTAGCTACTGTAGCAACTCCACGAATTCCAAATAACTTGCCATAAATGGACGCACCTTTCGGCAAGAGTACCCATTCCTTGATACCTCAAATGACCTCGGATTGAAAAACTACATGCTCATGTTAGAATGTTAATGCTGTGCTGCATAGCATTATAGCTGTATGGAGTTGTAGTCAAGTCCTCACAAGTCAACTGCAAGCAAATTACTAGTCAATCACAAGTAAATCGCAAATCAATCACATGTCCAAGACAAGTCAATCACACGCCAATCACAAGTCAATCACTTGCCAATCACAAGTCAATCACTTGCCAATCACAAGTCAAGTCTTGAAGTCTTAAGTCAAGCTATTTACACGAACTACAACAAACCATTTGTCGCTTGGTCTTCCCCTCTTTCTTGAGACCTGACTTGGACTTAGCACTGACATTGTGACTAGATATCGACTTGTAATAAAATTAATTATAAAGTCTCAATGATGCCAGCCGGCACATCTGCCACACACATAACAGTGGTGACATTTGTTTTCTAATGAGAATGCATACCTGTCTAAACATCATGACTGGTGAAAATTGTCACCTCAGATAGCTGGGTATTCTGGAGAAAGCTTATTGCTTTGCTGTCTGCATCGAGGCACAAATCAAAGCCAAGTTACTCTTATACTCATTGAAGCAGTTACGTTTCAGATTTTTATAGCGTTTCCTAAACAGAAACATTAGTAGCTTTCTAGAAAACTGAATTTACCCTGAAGCATCATGGAATATCATATTGAATACCATATGTACCAACTATTCAAACAAGCATGAACTTTCACAGAGTAAGCAACATCAAAACACTTTTACCCTGTACTTTCCCAGAATCCACATAATACATATTCCTAAACACACATCGAATACAGAAGTCTGCAGCATTTAAATGGTTCTCAAGCATTTCTTCTTCTTCTTTTTTAAATAGAACACACATGTTTTAGTTTAAGAGTCACACTGAAAAAAAGTCTCCAAAGGTCCTGACATCTGTCATCCCATTAGCATCCACGTTAACAGGACTAGCAGGAAAATGTGTGCTTTGTAACAAAAGCCTCTGGTGGGATTCGCACCAGAGCCCGTCATTTTCTCAGTCTTGGGAGGCTCCACCACAATGTCTGTTTCGTCAGTCGAGACAAGGTTGTTCGCTGGCTCAGGGCAGCCCATCCAGTCAACATCAAAGGACCTAGGGAATCCCTTGTCCACCTTGCCCCGACTCTCGTCAAATCGCCAGTATTTCTTGTTTCTCACGAAGTAGGTGTACCAAAGACCATTTTCTATTTGCAAGAAAAAAAATAGTTTCAGTGTTACACAGTGTGCAGTTTTACTTTACTTTACTACTTTGTTAATTATTTCTAGCAATGAAACCAAGAATTCCTCAAAAGTGCCCCAAGCATTGTAAATGGCAAGCCAGAAGTAACCTGGGCCCAATTTCACGGCGCTTTGCAGAAAAGTTGGGCTTAGCATAGCAGAAAAATTTGCAAACCTTAAAACACTATTTCATGGCGTGGATGTGCTAACGGTCGCGTGTGCATGGATATTTCTATTGTTACGTCACTAAGTAAAGCAAATATTCGCGTATGCATGCCTTTTGCTGTGCTTAGTCTTACGGTCTCCATGAAATAGACGGAGGCTCTGTTAGCAGAAAATTGTGCGCTCAGCAGCATCATGAAATTGGGCCCTGTACAGAGAAGACAATGAGACTAAGAACAGTTTCAGAGGTGGAAGGAAAATCCCAGCATATTCTTGGGAAAACCTACGGAATCAGGTAGGGACTAAAAACCCAGTCCGCATGTGGCAAGGGCAGAATCGAACCCGGGTCACAGTGGTGGAAGGCGAGAAAAGAACCGCTACGCCAACCTGACTGCCCAGGTTGGTGAACAACCAGAGTTTCCAAGTTGGTGCACTTGGGTGACAAATGCCCCCTTGGTTCCATTACCTCTTGCAACTCACGATTACAAGCTGAGCATGGCGCCACTTCAATTATATAATCCAAATATATGGTCCTCATGAGATTAGTCTACCTACCATCGACAAATCTGAAGGCTGTATCCATGTTGCTGGGAACATCAGCATCCCACTTCTCTTTGACTTCCTTTGGATAGCCCGTGTCTACCTGCCTCTCCATCTCATCGTACCTCCAGTATTGGTCTCCTCTGAAGAAGTAGGTCTTGCCTGTAGCACAAATAAATTATTAGACATTCATCCACAAATCTTGGAGCTTTGCATGGTGAATCCGGGAGGAGGTTTTTTTCCTGAAGGCACCACTATCAAGGTTAAAAATCACTCAGAATCAAGGAAAAAGGGAAACAGGACTGCAAACGGACAAACAATGACAACTTTCTGAAGATGGCATTGCTATGTCTAAGTGAGGTGAGCAACCACCTCACAGAGCACCAACAGTCTACCTAAGGATGATTGAAACAAAATCTTTCAGGAGGTTTATCTGCTGATTTGTACCTTCCTTGATCCTGAAAATCATCCAAAACCCCTAGGAGGTTTTGAAAGATCCTAGAGATTCAGGGTTTGTAACAAAAGTTGGTACAGGCCATTAAACATAGAGGAACTACAGCAACAACCTTCAATGCTCTTCAACCAGAGTTGTGATTAAGCCACTTATCATTTGCTTTTTGTGCATTTTTTTTCTTTCTTTGAAGCAACAAAATTGCTCAAAATGTTAAGTAGGCTGCATAATAACTATCCTGTTGACCTTTTAGCTCAGTGGCTACTATAAATGTTGAGAAATGTAGAAAACACATTTTGAGTGTCGTAAACCATCTTTGCGGGGAGTGTGGCCTTGTGGTTAGGGTTTGTGACTCATGATCAGAGGGTCAGGGGTTCGAATCCAGCTGCATGTCAAATGTTGTGTCCTTGGGCAAGCCACTTCACCCCCACTTGCCTCTCTCCACCCAGGAGTGTAAATGGGTACTGGCATTAGCTGGGGAGTATACTGCAATGGACTAGCATCTGGTCCCATTTTCACAGGTTATTTCGTACCAGTCCGTTCGTCACTTTCAGCACAGTTTTTCACATTTAGTCAGTAGGTCTTCAATGATTTTACCAATGTACCTTTGTGCATTTAAATCAATCTCAACTCAAAATTATAAGTCAGGTCACGAAGTAATCACAGAGGGTGAACACTGACAGTTGTCACAATTGTCACAATTCATTTTGTCAGCTTGTCACTTGTTGTCACATCAGTTTAATTGTGATGGACTCTTTCTTGTTGACTTGTCGTGGCTTGATTGCAACCAGGCCTTGCCATACCTGTTTCTCCCCAAGGCAAAGCGGCATCGATGTCGTCCGGCAGGCCAAGCTCTCTTATCGGTCTAGGAAAGGAAGGATCGCGATCTGTCCCTGTGTACTCCCAGTAACTTGCACCTGAAAAGTTATGTTAAAAAGAAAGAAAGATATGATGACTTCTAAAATGTGAATTATGTCATCAAGATTTTATTATTAGCAAGAAAACACAATGTTGTGTGAGTTAAAGGTTTTCTGTGTCAGTGCTCTGATGAAAGAAACTCTCAGTGTGTTTCCTCCCAACTAACTAGGGTAATATAAAACATAATTGACAAATGTGGCTGGAACACTGGGGTTTTTTTTAGCCAAACATTTTTGCACTCAGCAACCTTATTGGCTTTGAGGTTTCATCCAGGGTTTTATTTTAGGAGATTAATTATGAAGGAAGTTTGTTGCGAGGTACCCAAGGAAACGATTGAGAGATATCACGTCCCGCATGTTTCATACCAGGGGAATATAGAAGGTCTGACTGCATGGGTGTGTACCAAACCATTTATATAAGGAAATCCATGAGGGCACCAGCATAGTTATCAAAAGGGCCAGAAGATGTTGAGGGTCATTAAAGGTAGTATAATAAGCCATTTGCGAGTAACCTATACCCTTTGGGATTTACATTTGAAAAACATCTGGTACACTGACTTGCTCAAAATGCTTGGCACATTTTAACTTTCAATTCTCCAGACAAATGACACTGTTGCTAATCACATGATTCGGGGCAAGCTCTTGCATACTTACGTAAGAGACGCTCAGCACCAATACATTGTTCACAATGGGTGAGAACGGCACAAAGACACCAGACCATACTGGAGCTTGGGGTTGCTAGCATAAGGCTTGCCTCGAATCACGTGATATAGTAACAGCCTCTTTGGTCAGGGAAAATGCAAAGTTAAAACGTGCAAAGCATTGGATTAAGTCAGCGTTCCAGATTTTATTGAAATTTAACTCGCAAATGGCTTATTGTTTTTGATGTAATTTTGCTGTAAAGTGTTTTGTTCATAGATGCTGGAAAAACCAAGGAAAACATGCTGTTCTTGTAATCTGGTTTCCTTACCCCATACTTCAGACGAAACAGAGCAATTTATAGACGTTGGGGAATTGTCAGGTCAGGGAACCAGAGTACCTGACTTGCACCCATTCACGGATGTGTAACTAATTGTTACCAAAATGTGGACTAACTAAATTTGGTAAATTGGGGGCAGTATTTGTAAAAAGTCAGTTTTTCAGACAATGGTCGGCCAAGCATCGTTGGAAATTAATATACAAATTCCACTTTTATTGAACATGACAGCACACCAGGTGCCATGATTTCACAGGATGCTTGAGACTATCAATCACTTACAGTCAAGTAAGGCATGTAATAATAATTTGTTAGTGTATGTTTTTTTTTACCAAACCAAAACTGTTTTGGTTTGGAAAATATGGTAAATGATTGCTAACTGTCGGATATCAACCGTAATTTCACCCACTGAAGTTGTAACCTTGTCAAACTGGTTCAAGTCCAACTTCGAATTGTTAAATCAAGCAATACATGAAATGGCTTTTGAAATAATGCTAAATACCTTTGAAGAACAGAATCTTGTCGTCGATCCGTTCGTATGCAGCATCGACTTTGACTGGCAGCTGATCCCAAAATCTGGACGTGTCGATCGGATAACCCTCCAGCGGGTGCCCCTTCTCAAGCATCCGCCAAAAGGTCTTGCCCTTTGTGGAGGGAAAAATGTGCTTCCTTTAAAACATTTTCAGGAAATACTTGTCATAATTGCCAGTTGGAACTATAAAATGTAGCATAGGACTTATTGTCTCTTCAAATGAACGCTCAAAATCAAGACGCTTTCCATGACCTGGCCTGTAACGTTGTTAAGTCTATAATTCTATTGTTAGACTCTTGACAAAATGTTAAAGTTTACTTGAAACCTTTGCATAGTCACACACCTGGTTTGGAAAAGGCTTAGGTTTGTAGAGTTGAATTAAAGTTTGAATGATATAGTAAGAGTCCTTCTATTATATGAAAAAGGTTTAAACACCCATGCTCCATTGCCAAGTCTTATTGGTTGACAAAAACATGCTCAAACAATGAAACTTAGGAACAGAAATTAATCAGTCTCCAATCAATAATTGTAACGAATCATAAAGCCGGTTGGAAACTTCTTTTTTTTTAAATCCGATTTCAAAAATGAGCACAGAAAGTAACATCAGCTTCAAACTAACTGATTATTTATTGTGATTAAGTTTCAGGTTTATGGCAAATAATTTTAGGATTTCCTTATCTTTTCAGCCAATCTTAAAAATGGTTTTACCTTGAACAACATCAGTTCTCCCCGTATTTTTGCAATGGCATTGTAGGAACCGCCACAAGTCGGGTTTTGATCCGGCGGTGAGGTCGGATCAGCTGGGGGACCAGGTGCCTCACCCCCGGGGCTTTCCCCGCGGGAAGGAACAGACCCTGGTCGAGCACCTGAAATAGATGCAAGGATATGATTATTGGACCTAGTGCAAAGTATTCCAAAAATAACTCTTCTAAAAATAGTCAATAAGTTTTTGACTAGTTATCCTGTCAATCACAAGTCAATTACAATCTGAATCCCAAATCAGGTTTCAAGTCGGGCCACAACTATTAACAGATGAACAATCACAAAGGAAAATCTTTGTGAAAGATAGTTTAGACAAATATAACTGCATTTGGCTTGCAATTGATTTGATGACAACTTCAACTTAAAGTGATCTCCTATGTCCTTGATAAAATAAAATTGGTCTGGTACCTTCTTCCAACATAGGGGGCGCTCTTCAAAACCAATAATTATATGCATTATGTGCCCATTTATTTTCAGGGCGTATTGTATGGGTTTCGGGGCTTGGTTTTCATATTCCTCGTTTATAGCAAAACTATTATTGGAAAATGGTTACCTCTAATAAATAGTAAGATACTTTAAGGGCATTTTTGTTTTATCTCAAGGGGGCACTTTAATGCTCGAGGGGGCACATTTATGGCCGCAAAAGGGGCACTTAGGAAAATCGGGGGGGGGCAAATGCCCAGCCCCCCCAGTTCCGCCGCCCCTGAAAACAAGACACATGCCCACAAAATTTATGTGCATTAACATATAATGGCAGAAAGCTAGTCTATATTTCGTTCACAAACTTTTGATCAGTGAGTATATGAGTAAATCCTGTTACAGGAAAAGACCCAAAACCATGATGTGGAGCACTGTGGTCCAATGGTTACGGTGTTGGACTCATGTGCTGTGGTACATGAAAGGGAACATGGTGACAGGGAACATGGTGCTTGTGTTCTTTGGCAAGACGCTTTACTACAATTGCTTCTCTCCACCCAGGAGCATAAATGGGTAGCTGTGAAAGTTGAGACCAGAATGCGCTGATCTTGAGCTGCTGCAAGAACTGGTCTCATGGCCTGATGAACAGGGGTGATAATTGTGTAGCACTTTGGGACCTTTGGTATAAAGTGCTATATTAGCACCACATTGTTATCACTATCATTATTATCAGCCTACCATAGAGATGTTGAGCTCCCACGTGATCGTCGTACGGAAGTACATAGTTTGGTTTGTATCCCTGGTAGAAGGGTGCCATAAGTGCTGTCAGGTCAGACGAGTGGCCAAAGCCGAGACTATGACCAAACTCGTGAGCTGCAACAATCAGGAGGTTGGTACCTGCACAGGAAATCATTTATTAGATAAAATATTTAGAATCTGTATTTTTTTTAGAAACTCTCGATAACTGCCCAAAAAAATGTACAAGAATACCAAGAGCATTATCAGCTTTGAACATTGAGACAGGTTTTAATCGTTTATTTCACACAAATTGAAGATTATTTTCATTTTCAAAATGAACTATATTGCAGCTCTCCATTCAAGAAGCAATATATCACTAAGAAGTTTGGAACATTTAAAACAAATTGTGACATGGAACTTTCAGATCATCTCTCAAAAAGTCCAATTTCTCGGGACTACTATAGACTTTGTTAAGTTAATCTTTAATTCAGTGATGTGGACGAAAATTCTGAAACTTCCCCAAATTAGCACCAAAGTCTCAAGTCCAGATCTGGAACCATGTTAAAACTGCGTATGGAGTATTTAGGAGGAATACTATCTTCGATCCAAGATGTCATCGCTTAGTGACAGATATCTCAATCTTTTAAGTAAAGGCCCCCAAGTTTTTTTGTAAAAGAAGCAAATATTCCTACCCTCATAGGACTTGACAGTGAACTGTTCATCATCATCAAAGTGGGCATCTCCTCCCAAATCGTCACCGGGGAAGAATGCATGTGCAAGGGTTCCCCCAGGCCCATCAAATGGGTAGTCGTCATGATGCAGGCCGCGGGCAAAACTGACAGAAAATTGAAGCAAAATATTCATTTCATATATTCATTGTCTCTGCTAATAATTAAAGAGAAGAAATTCTTTGGAATATATAATAACTTTCCGTGAGGCTCTGGCAAAGATGATACTTAGATAAGGGGAACACATGCAAGGCAACAGGGCTTGATTTGTCAAGCTATAGGCTCGTGCAAAAACATACAGTTTCTAAATAAATTGAACAACAACATGTTTATTAAAAAGGGCTGGTCAAGCAATGTACAAAACAAGAACATTCATGTTCACTGTTATTCATGAATATGCAATGCATCCACAGCTCCTGGACTTGATTCTGCTGTCACGCGGCGAGAAAGCGATTATGATATTGGTAACAGGGAAGCCAGGTTGGTGTAGCGGTTCTTTTCTCACCTTCCACTGACGTGACCCAGGTTCAAATCCCTTCTGGGCCAATATGTGGATTGGGTTTTCAGTCCCTGCCTGCTTCTGTAGGTTTTCCCAAATATTCTTCTTGGGATTTTCCTCCCAACTCTAAAACTGTAATGCTTATCAATGCCTCCTCTCTACGGGTTTCTTCAGGCTTGCAAGCTACAGTTCCTAGGGCGCTTTTGAGGAGGAATCCTTGGTTTCATTACCAGAAATAATTAATAATACTAAATATTACAATAACTATAAAATAAGATTGCGATATTAAAACAGATACCAAATACATTTTTTTTTATGAATTCCATTTTCAATCATCCTTATAGGGCCAATACTAACCTTATATCAATATCAGCTGGACCCATCTCCCTCTTTTCGAAGTTCAGTGGTATAACATCACTCCAAATTTTTAGGGCGCCGGCGATAGCTTCATCTATTTCCGATCTCGTTAGGTCAGGTGAATAGTTTTTCATTCTGAGGTGTAACAAAAGTAAAGAAGATGAAGGTCTTGTAATTCAGCAAATGCAACTATACTTTTTGTTATTTTTTACAGATACTCTCTAAATTCTAAAGAGCGAAAATTCACTCCATTCGAGTGAAGATTCACTCCCACAGTCGGAAACTAGGGACTAGACGTTTTTGAGTGAAATTTCTTCAATCTTAAAGATCGAGGTTTACTCGAGCTTCGACTGAAGTGGTTCATTTTTCGGGGTTTTTTTGTCAATCGAAAATGAGAGTGATTTTCACTCTAAAACGTCTAGTCCCTAATTTCACTCTTTGGAATTTAGAGAGTAATAAAAGCCACAAAGCTGCAAAGTGTGTGTCTACAAAAAGATTCATCACAACATTACCTTCATTTGTCAGGAAAGTCTTAAGTTTCAAACAGTTGGAAAAGTCAACTTTTAAAAACACTTATGACTTTCTAATGTAAAATAACTTGCATGGATTGTTAATTTCAAACAACCCAAACCTGTAAGTTAAATCCTGATGGTCCCACGTCGCTCCCGTGTGCACATATCGTCTTTTCCTGCTACCATCATCATCCCTCATGATATCAGGCAAGCCGCACCGGGGCATAGCCATCAGGGCCTCCGTCCGGCCGTCCAGTGCCCCCGTCACCGGCAGGCCGTAGAAGGTCTGAAACGCCCGGATCCCATCGTAGAACTCGGCTTGCGATCGTAGGCTGCCCGCTACGGGGTTGGGCTTGGGCAGGAACCCGTATTTTGTGAGGTAATTCTGCAGAAAGTAAGGTATAACAAAGAGACAAAATGTTCAGATATGCGGGAAGTGGAAATCCTATTGCATATGATAAATCAAGGAGGTATTGTACCAAAACACCACCAGATTTGTCTGCAAATGCACGGAAAAGATGACAACCTCAATAAGCAGGGATGGAAAATCAATTTTCCACCAACAGTTCAATTAAATTGAACAACCAAAATTAAAACCGCTATACCAAAGTGTTTTTTTTTTAATTACTTTCACTTTATGTGTGCTTCCCTTAATTGGTGTAAGAATAAAACAGAATTTATGGAGTTAAGCTAGTTACTTTCACTTTATGTGTGCTTCCCTTAATTGGTGTAAGAATAAAACAGAATTTATGGAGTTAAGCTAGTACCAAATATTTAAATATTTTAAGTCTTAAAGACTAAAATCACAAGTGGCATAACAGAAATACTAAAGATTAAAAGAGGTTTTTTTTTACTGTTATCAACTTAAACATCAATAAGAATATTTGGCGCTCTACAACATTGTCAAGAAAGCACAGAAAAATGTTCAAAGAAGTTTTAAGAGGATAAAGCCCGATTCATACTTCACTCGAATGCGAATCGGGCTTAAAGCCCGGTTCATAATACTCTGCGCGAAAGCGGACGCGAATTTGTGACGTCGTGGCAAGTATTCGCGCTGCGAATTCGCAAAAGTTGAACACATTTCAACTCGACGAATTTCGCAGCGAATGTTTCATGACGTCAACTTCGCTTCGCATTCGCTTTCGCATGAAGTATGAACCGGGCTTCAGGCTAGGATGTACCTAAATGGTATATTTAGCCTTTGATGTTGATAACAATATTGTGTCTGCGAAACTCCAATTGATGTTTTCCATAATTAATTGGTCAACGTCTTCACAAACGTAAATTATAGATGTGCTTGACAAATCTGTAGAAAAAATTGACTTCCAATACGTTGAGCAGTAAAGATACTTATTATAACTGCACCTAAGGAACAGCAGCAGACAAGGAAAGATTAGGATGCCCTAACTTTTGTCCTCACTGCTATCTTCATCAGACCATTTAATTCCTTCCCCTTTAGGGATGAATGCAGCGGTTTGTTTTCTCTCTTGATAAAACGCATGTTGTGCAACACCTCGTCTAGACATAATAGAATTTATTATGACCGAGGATTGTTATTTGAGTATAATATGAAAAAGCGGGGAATTGCAGCCGACTTTCATTGAATCTTACACAGTTTTGTGCCAATGACAAGAAGGGAACGGAAACTAAAAAAATAAACTAAATTGACAAAGAAAGTAAAGAGTGGAAGAACATTACATCAGGGAAACGCCTCGCAACCAGCTCGCATACATAGGCATTCACAAGCAGGAACATATTAATTAACCTCACGGACTTATCAGACTTTGACACCAGTTTAATGTAGAATAATCCCACGATTAAAGTGTTTAGTTGGAACTTGTTGGAGAATTATCTGAATAATGCATGGGTTAAACTTCGCTTCATCTGTGGATTATGTTGGATTATGTTGGACGGATGACCAAAATAAAATAGTAACATGGCACCTACTCCGCCCTGTAGGCATCAGCATTGATGCCAAGCTGTACTAAGCAAGCCAGGACGAACTGCTCTAAAACCCTGTTGGCACTTTGTGGTATTTTCACAGGCCCTTCAAAGTCGTAGGCCCCCGAATTTTTCGTAGGCCCTGGGCACAGTGCCTACTGTGCCTATTGGGATAATCTGGGCACGAGTAACTGAAACCGCAAGATGGTTTTAATTTATTTAAGTAGGCTTAAGACATTCTATTTTGTCGTTGTGTAACTTAACAGAATGACAAAATTAAATGGCCAATGAAACGCTTAAGTTCAATCATGGAGTCTTAGGAAGGAATGAGCTTTAAGCTAAATAACATGCACTTTCTCAATGTTCCTCTCTTAAGACCAAAACAATAAATGATTGTTCAAGTGACTGGCGACGCAAGTGGGATAATGTACGACAGTGCTAACGCCCTGTTGCCCTCACAGTCATAAAAATAAAGACTTGTGAAAGAAAGCGGCAAAACGATTTCAGGCAGAATTTCAGACGAAGAAAATGTCTGGATTGGTTTTGCCGTGAGCCCTGTGGGACTGTTAAAATAATGTCCTGAAACAAATGCTCATGACTCATCGACGAAGACTGATTACGACTTTATTAAGTTTACTCAATCGCAACGGGACAGCCGACCCGACTCTGTTATTTTATTCCCCCAGGAAAGTACAATGAAGTATCGTAGTCATCAAAACCCCATGACCCAAATGTTATTTTAATTTCGTTAACTTAATATCGAATCTGGGACAAAATATGCAGGGCTACGTTAATGGCTCATGCTGCTCAGCAAAGCTCCGCGGTTTTTCGGTTTGCTTAAACAGCCGACGATTGTTTGGGGGAACTTGAGTTCTTGTAAATCTCGGTTCTTGAGTAGAAATGTTTGTATCTTTCTGAATGTAAGCGAGTGTTACTATATAGTTGGTGTTAATCGCCTGTCTGCCGCAGCAACACATATAGCTCACCATCTCTGATTTTGAAGAAGTTGGTCAGTCTGGTTGCTGTTCAACTCGTGCTCTTCAACATATGCGATTTGTTTTTAATGAACATTCAACATGTATGTTTTATTTTAAAGAGAAAAAGCTACTTTTCTCTGTTTGGACGGGGGGTTGCTTTTGCGCCCATATCACGCACAAAAAGATACACCTGAATTATTGTCGGGCCGCAAATAATTCGAAATAAAGTTATTATTGCATATTATTTAAACGTGGATTAGTTCATTCACTGGTTTACAGATATTTTTCTTAGCACAAGTTGGGACTTGTGAAGAGAGAGGGAGAAGCTGTACAACGAAGACCGAATTGCCTCCACAGCCAATTGACGATTGGGCAGTCTTGACTCCAAGACGTCCTTTAAAGTGGTGCGATGTTTTGGATTATTGGACTGTGCAGCGATTCACCGAAGCGGGCGCCCTTAACACCCACGCCAATATCGCACCCCGCACTTGCACCAAGACTACCGATTGGTCTGAGCCGAAGAATCGGCTCTTGTAATGAGATACGACATTCGAGCAGCATGAGTGTGAAAGTTAATGGAGTGCAACCGCATCGATGGTGTAACCACTGTGTGACCCAACCCATCTCAGCTTGCGCTCATCCAGGGTCGTCCAAGCGTCACCATACACTCGATGACTCATGGCTTGGGTATTTTGGGGAACACCGCTAGCTTTGTCTGGCCCCTTGCCAGACCTGTCACTCCATACATCATCTTCATCGCAGTACTGAAAGCCACTTTGTGTGGAAGATACTTATCATAGAAACTGGCGAACTTGAACTATTGGTGAACTGTGAGCTCATGCTCATTCAGGTCATGTTCAGGGCTAGCTGGCAACAGACCCGAAGTCTGCTTAAAAGCTATCCACCCAAATCCACCTGTTTGTTTCGTCCCTTCTCATTATATCAACCCGCGCGATCTTTTTACAAGTCCTCACCATCGGGACAACTGTGCAGGCCTTTATTAAAAAGTCTGAATGCCCAAGCCCCTTTCAGGCAGAAGGACGCCTTTCCTAATTTTCTAATCCTGTCTGCTGGGAACTGTGACCCATAACTGTTCTAGAAAATCCTGTCTGCTGGAAACTGTCATCCATAACAGTTCTAGTACTGGCTATAATATTTGTATTTACGCCCGACATTAATATAATTATACAAACAGGGATAACTTACGAAATTTTGGAGCATCTATATTATATTGACAGCTGTTGATCGAGATAATTCAGGTCAGGACGGTATAGGCCATTGCTCAATCAAAAAATAGTTGTTCGAGGCTCTATGAAGATAGATCACTGCTGGCACTGCATACCAAAGTACTAGGATCTTCTATCTTGCACACAGCATCTGCAATTTGTAAAGAATTTCACCTCAGCGGAGCAAGAACATTCTTGGTATCGTATGCCTCATTTTCCAACCGCTGATGCCATCATCGCACGGCGGATCCTTTGATCCAAACTAAATCAAAAGCAGACGCTGATATCCGTGGTGATTATTGTTACATTACAGCCATGATGGAGCGATACAGCCGCCATCTTGACAACCACACGCAATCTATAGTCTAGACGTCCGTCGCAGTCTCGCAGAATTCGCCCGAATTCCGATCCTCTTAAAAAGAAATAATATTTTGCCAGTTCCAGCGATATGGCGAAGACATTAATTAGCATGATGTCTTCTGAATGGCATTCTCCGGACATGAGGTAAAACTAGGATGATCAATGAGTTTACAAGCGTCCTTTCAACTGACAGGCATACAAGCTGATAGAAATGTGTTCCTCCATACGTTTTTGTCTTGACTCTAGAGACACCCAGGTTATAACACCCATATTTGTACAACAAATCTCTTAGTCCTAGGTGAAACTGAACACTGAGTCCGACAGACTCATCCCTTTAGAGATTTCCTTCGTACTTTGTTCACACACAAACTTGTTTTACATATCTTGTGTGGACATTCTTTTATTCTCGTGCAATGAAGAGAAAACACGTTTGAGAACGTGCAACTTGCACTGCAAACGCTCTTTGAAACTGAATTTTTGGCTGTGTTTTCTTTGAATGTTCTACTTCATTTTATGACGAATAACCCAACCCATGAAATAATGCCTCTAAAATTGTTTTTCAGAAAAAGGGAAAACGTTCTGGGGACCTTTGGGATGCTGCATCGTTTGGATATCTTTGTTCAACTTCGCAGATTCAACACAGTGACTGCAATGCAAGTACCACCTCCCAATACGCATAAAGGCTAACTCATTTCCAACATAGCACACGCTTTTGCCTCCACTTGCTCACAACATGCTTTCACACATTTTGCTCATGTTGCTCGAGAGATTTATGGCAGCATCTGCTGTACCGAAATGGCAATTAATGTGCATCGGAGAGTTTCGTTCCGCTTTCGTGCAAAATAACCACTTCACTGACTTCAATGGCAGCTTCGGAAGAT